TTAATAAGTTAAAGTTTGTTTATATACAAATCAATAGCCAAAACTACTTTGGGTCTAGTCTAGTGTTCTAATTTAGATTTGAAATACGGTATTTCAAATACCAAACAGACGATTGTTCCAGACAGGAGATCCAAATATGCTAGGCTAGGCCTAAGCTATGTCAATTCACTGAAATTGTTAACAACTCAACAAGAACGAACTAACTTAAACACAAAGTTAGAGTTAAACGAACGACCAAATTTCGCAAACGATATGCTCATTGATCATTCAAGGTTCGGCAAACTGAAACTGAACTAGTGAGTTACTGAATTGGTTTTCTACAACTACAACGCAATAACATAAACACAAACACTGGACCGGCGCAAACAACCACTCCCTTCCACCAAACACTTCCACTCCACTGACCACTGACTGTCTGTCTGTGTCTGACTGAGACTGACACACTACACACACTACACACTGACAACTGCTACTGCACTGAACTGACTGACTACTGACAGTGTAGTGACTAGTGACAGACTGAGTGGACTGACTCTGACTGAGACTGAGTCACAGAACACAGAACAGACTGATCGGATCACGGGTCGAGTTCCTGCAAGGCTCAAAGGTCGTTCCACGACGTAGGCTCGACGTCACGATTTCATGACGTTCACACTTTCCAGTTCCATTCCTTGTCCATTTTAGTGGTTCTGAAGTCGATTCACATTAAGGTCGATTCACACATATCAGTTCAGTCACAGTTCCGTTACAGTCCAGTAACAGTTCAGTCTCAGTGGCATCCGCAATTTCTCAGTCAATAATCCGTCAGTTTGTTTCAGTCAGTCTTCCGTCTCTAAAATTCACAGTAATTTACAGTCAAAAGTTTTAAATTATAAACCTATATTCTATCAAGTTTTCATTGTCCATCTTGTTGATTGTTACAAACAGTACTCAAAATATAAACACAACCATTTAAACAACAATAACACTATTTTCTAACCTTAAACCGGTCCGTCAGTCGTCCGAACAATCCAAAAGTATCGGTGGAAAGAAATCTGAAATTAACTGACGGATGCCGGTAGAGCGACTGACGGGACTGCAACGGATAAGTGTAGATAGCGCAATAGAAAATCCATAAAAGAATATTTTTGTTAACTGTGACGTGCCTGAAGTGACTGGACTGTGACGTTCCGTAACTGATGTGTGTGAATCGACCTTTATCAGTTACGGTACGTTGCAGTCCAGTCACTTCAGGCACGTCACAGTTATCAAAAATATTGTTTAATGGATTTTCTATAGCGCTATCTACACTCACCCGTTGCAGTTTCGTCAGTAAGTCATGTCACTTACGGAATCATCTTATGGGGACATTGTCCAGGTGTTAGTAAAATTGTATTACTGCAGAAGAAAGCAATTAGAGTCATTTCAAATGCTGGTTGGCTTGATCATTGCAGGCCTCTTTTCATAGAGAAAGTGGTCCTAACTGTATAAGTCTTAATTTATTTATTCCAACGGCAATATACATATTTCATTGTATTGTTGCTATAAGGGAAAGAAATGGTTTATTTACATCCGTTGGTGAAGTTCATGAGCATAATACAAGGTCAAATAGAAATTTGTTTTATCCCAGAACTAGTCTTGGAAAAACTTGGAAATCTTTTCCTGTTTCAGGTATACGTTTTTTGTAACAAGCTGCCTGTCACCGTCAGCCACCTTCCCCTTCCTAAATTTACTCAGGTTATGAAGTCTTGGCTCATTCTGCATCTTTTTTACCACACTAATGAACTTAACAACACCAACCTCAACACCTTTTCTGCCCTATATTAAACCCCTAACTGCTGTACCTTCCATCCTGACCAAATCAGGTGTTCATATTTATATTTTTTCTTCATTCATGTAAGTTTGTGAAGCACTTTACTTGCATTGTGAATTTGCATTGTTCTAGTTATAAGCATGACGAAGCCTATTGTATTTATTGTAAATATTTAACGGCAAATACATTTTTGAATCTTTGAGTAGCTCTTCAGGCGTCCGTCAGTCAGTTTCATATTTCTTTTTACCGATGCCGATATTTTTGGATTGTTCGGACGCCTGACGGACGTTTTTGAGGTTAGAAAATAGTACTATTTTTAAATAAATTATCGAGTTTATATTTTAAGTATGCTTGTAACAATTAACAAGACGAACGATCAAAATTTGATAGAATATTGTGTTGTGTTGTAATTAAACATTTTTGACTTTAACAACACTGTAAAATAAAGTGACGATAGGGATAGAGTGACTGCAACCAAATGACTGACAGTTTTGTTTGACAGAGAAATTGCCGATGCAACTGGAACTGTGACTGGCCTGTAATTGGACTGTAACGGAACTGTGACTGGCCTGTAATTGGACTGTAACGGAACTGTGACTGGACTGATATGTGTGAATCGAACTTAATGGTTTCGATTTCAGAACGGATACGGATACGCTACTGAACGCAAGCAAGTGACACAAGTGCAAGTTGGCAGTTTCATAGTTGCAAGGTTGACGGTATTTTGTTAATTATTACAGTAGTACCAATTAAGGATTTACAGTCAACGGTAGTGCTTAATGGAGCCCCATTTGCTTAAGCTGGCGGCAAACAGCCGTTTTCTGGACTAAATTATTGACAAGGGAAGCTCGTTAAAACTGTATAGTGTGGGGTAAAATATTTTTATTAAATTAATTTCATTGACTTTTGGTTACTGAAGCAAAAGATCCCATCCAAGGTCCAGCTGTTACCAATTTTTATTCAAAAAGAGTGCTGCTATTGGATGAGCAATTATTAACAGATTGCAAGTTAGTTTTGAAATACAAAGTTTAGTTTTAAATTCATTTTTTTAAATTAAAGCCATAACCTGAGTTGGAAGTATAAAGGAATTTAGCTTAATGTTTAAAGGGGGAGAAATCTGAGTGAATTGATGCTTTAAATTATGTAAAAATATTAAAATATATAACTTAAGTTAATTTAAAATATTTAATAAATTTGTAAAAAAATTACGAGTAGAGATCAAGCGTCATAGGCGATGCAAAATCACATCTTTAAAGCTATGTTTAAGCTACCAAATATTTAGTATGGCTGGTGCCTCTTGTAACCCTAAACGGGGAGATGGAGAGGTTATCTAGCTTACAAATAAAGCTCGTTATTTTTGTTTGAAAATTCTTCGTATATATTTCACCCTTACCATCTCAAGAGCTGTAGGCTTTAATACACTATCCCATGTCAAGTCGAAATAATAAAAATTTTAAATAAACAACCAATTTTGGCGATTTAACACTTACTTTGGCAGAAAACTAATACTACAGTCTTGGAAAGCTGGAATATGGGAAAGTGCCATTAGTCATCAGTCATCCCTATGACGTTAGTCATGGAACGTCCTGTGAGCCTTATTGCGGGAACTCGACCCATCGGATCACAGTCGAGCAGGACAGGATAGAATGTAAGCGGTGGGGCATACGGGAGGGACTATGGCTGAGGGCATGACGTAATATCTCTAGGCCGGGTCCGGTGTCACACGTAGCTACTTTGCTCGCCGATACTAGGGAGGGATATCCCTAGTAGGGATGTGCTAAACTGTTTTTCGCGCTGAACTGTTTAGCTGTAAACAGTTGCCAGCGCTTATTTATTTAATTTACAACCTGTTCAACAAAAATAGAACAATAAGCAAATATGTTAAAATTTAAATACAGTAGTTAGTCCTCTATCCAACAATAAAGATAACACACAAACTTTGCATATTTTGGTACAAAGTTTAAAGTTCATAAATTCCTAAAAACGCAAACTTAAGTCCAAAACATGGCATCTCTTCAATCTATGTTTATTTATATACTTTATACTTTACGAACAACCCATTTTAACAAGATCATAAATACAACAGAGATGGTTCAATGTTCAATATAAGTTAAGTAGGTGGGCCTGTAGGGCATTGACAAAAATAATTACGCGTAGTAAAAATAATTACCAAGAAACTTTACTATTTTCAACATTAATCATAGCTCGCAAATAAGTTAGTATTTAGAATCAAAAACAATTAATTGATAATGTTTCAAAATAATTTTACACAGTTTTTAACGTTCAATAACTTGAATAATTTGAAGTCCATCAAATAACGGATAACCCCAAATAAATAGCATGGTTAGGTTAGAATAAATTGAATTGAATTTAACAGCATCCGATCACTTGGCCAACCTAACAACACAAAACACCGAAAACAAACCAGCAAAAACAGTGGCACGTTTTTCTCTACATATTCAACCATCAGAGGGTACTGACTCCGACTCCAGTTTATAATCTATTTATCTCAATGTTTGCTTGCCTGGTCAGCATTAAACGCATGTCTGTTGGATATCTCAAATTTATGAGCCCATTTAAAAATGTTTTTCACTAAACTATTTATTTTTTCGTGCTTTTTCACTTGATATGTCACAAGGGATATATCGCAATTTCAAAATTTTAAGTTAAGGGTAGGGAGAGAAAGGGGTGAAATATCTCACAAATTTATGAGCCGATTTTCAATTTTTTCACCAAACATTTTCTTTTTTCATGCTCTTTCATTTGATATGTCACAAGGCAAGGGGTACCTTGCTATTTGAAAAAAATAAGTTGGTGGCAGGGGTGGAAAGGGAGGGAATGTGAATGTAACGTTGAATTCAAAACAATTGGGCCCCCTACGTTAAAAGATGATTCCCGCAAACTGCATATTTCTATCTATTGCGGTTTTTACATAAATAAAGATGCAAGTTTAGATAAAAATACCCTGTATAGATATAATATATATAGACTAAGCCATCTTCATTGTTCTTTTCTTCAGACGATTGGTATGAACTGTTGGTTTTTATGACAGTAAATCATTTCTTTGAATCGATGCTCGATGTATTTTATATTCTATAGTATGATGATGGGCAAGAGTAAAAGTTGTAGTTATGCAAAAGGCGTTGAAAGTGTACAGTTGTGAGTTGTCTGTTGCTGTTCTGTCGTTCTCTGTGTTTGCGTTTGCTATGCTATGCTTGCGCGCTGGCTGCTTGGTGTGATACAACATTGACTGACAGTTGTGTTAACAAACGAAATTTTAGAAATATTATTAGTAAAAATAACGATTATATTTGTGCAATGTACTTTTAATTAAGTTTTAATTTTGTGTGTATTATCTTAATCAATACATAATGGGTAAGTTAGTTATCATTTAATAAATAGTGGGTGTGTGGGAGATAATAATTCTATTACTTGGCCTAGGTTAGACAATTATTTCGGCTCCCACAGATTATTTTACTTTTATTCTAAAATATTACATAACTTATACATTGTTATCAATGGACCTATAAATAAATGTTGACATGAATTTATACTTAATGATTACATTTTATCACCACTGCAATACTATGTTATTGCAAGGGTTTGCTCACGACTCAACAAAAGGGTTTAAGTCTTTGGATTTGATGATATACCTTCTTTCAGTTAGATTTACAAATAGGCCTACACTGAACTAACTATTTTGGTTTTAAGTTTACCATATGGTATTTACATTATATGGGGGTAACTTATAGGGTAACTCAGGCTATGTGGGTACCTATGTTCTCAGAAAAAGTAATTCTAATCACCACAAATTACTTATTCCCTCAAATCAGAAAGCAGATAGACTTATAAAAGTTGAAGTCGGATTATGAATCGCTACACATTCATGACATAACTTAGACCCTTGAACTGTTGCCAGCCTGACCTGTGTCTAATAAGTACTGATCAATCAAACCAAAATGTCATCATCATATGATGGGATAGCCTACCTCATACCGTACTGGTACAGAAAGAAAAATTAGTGACTGTTGCCTGTAATTCACTTAATCTTTTCTCAGATAACTGAAGCTGAAATGCTATATCATGATAACCTAAATGCCTTAGGCTAAATAGAATTTGGCTGGTGTTTAAGTTAAGTTATTGTTTGTGGGATTTAAGTTTAACTAAATTAATTGAGGTTTGTGATTATGAGAAAGATTTTCTTATTAGGGGTAGGCCCTATTCATTTAGCAACACAATCTTCTTTGATAATGGTTCTATGCAGTGGCGGCAATTCGAGTGGAGGATGGATATGCAGGGCTGCTTACAGTCCTCTTTTAGAGGAAGTTAACTTATACAGTCCAATCTCAATATAACGAATATGAAGGGACCGAACTAAATTTTTGTTAAAGGAATTTGTTAAAACGAGGTTCGTTTACTTATATTGAGTTTAGGTTTGCAGGTATTTCGCTAAGTTAAGTCGAAGTTCAGAAACAGCATCGGACAACAGGCCTAACTAATAGGTCGAGGTTTGACCTCATCATAACACAATTAAGTAAGAAGCATAAGTTAGGCTACCAGTACAATTACTTTACAGTAGGCTACAGTATTGACATTGTTAAGTAGAACCTTGATTATCCGGGGAAATAAGATGGAGGGAGACTACGGATAGTGAAAACAACGGTTAAAACCAACATGGTACGGTATAAAAAAATATTATTATGGGCAAAATAAACACTAATACTGTCTAAAAAAATTCCATTTAACTTATTTCACAATTTAAATTTTTTATCAACAAAATACAATATTACACAATTATTAATATTGTGGAATCATAACATTTCGCGTTATTGACCTTGGTTTAGTTTAGGCCTACAAACTGTTACGTTTAAAATCATAGCTTACTCAAACTCAGGCTCAAATCTAGCCAAACACTGTATAGCAATAAATCACAATCACGTACAGTACAAAACATAACAGTAGAGTTTTGTAAGCCACAGCTCTTGATAGGGCGATAGGCTACCGTATGGTACTGCTTTATCACAACAGAAGAATGTCAATAATAGCCTAATAATCAACTATAGCATTGGTGTTGCCTTAGTTGAAATAAATTGTAGGCCTACTGAAAACAATAAAAACATTTGATAAGTCATAGTGAATAATAAAAATTTAAAGATAATAAAAGAACTCCAAAAAGGAATAAAGATGCCGTAATGATGATGCTATTATCAGTCTTTGTTCTTTCTTAGGTTTCTCTTCATCCAAAATTTCACCATAGTTATTACACACAATCCCAGTTTACTAAGCATTACGTCGTCATCAGCTCAGTGAATGAAATCAGTTGGGACATAGTGCACAGCAGACAGATGTGTAAAAAAGAGAAGACGAATGTTAGCGCAAGTGTTAACATCAACTTTCCATTTCAGTTTCATCAAGAACCTCTGATTTTTCAAAAACAATAATGTGGGGGGGGGGGTTTCGTTATATCGAGGGAAAGACGTAGACAATTTGTTAAGTTAGGTTAAATTCGCTACGGTATGTAGAGATTCTGACAATGATAAATTTGTTATATTAAGGTGTCTTATTTTAGCCGGGATCGTAAAAAATTCGTTAAATGAAGGTTGTTGATACGATTGTTTGTTATCTAGAGGTAAAATATTCATTGTGTCTTATGGAAAGTTCTAGGGGATTTAAAAAAAATTGTTAAATCAAGGAATTCGTTATTTTGAGGTTCCTTATATCAAGGTTAGACTTTATCAATAAATTAATGTTTATTCCAAATATAGCCTCGGATGCTTTCCAGTTAATTTTCACCAACCCACTTCTAATTATCAATCCCTACCACTGGTTCCATGAGATACTTAAGTAGGCTAGTTTAAAAACATGCTAGCAGAGTAAGGAGTTAGACAAATTTAACTTTACTGTTTGCTCAGGGTAAGCTAATATGATGTCCTTAAAACCACTACTGCATTACTGTTAGAACTTGTAGGCCTTTTCCCCTCAGGTACCAGTAAAAACAACTCAATTTAAAATATTTAAGGTAAATTGGTCTTCTTCTCAAGTAGGCCTACAATCTCACTATATATCTCTCCTCTGTCAGAACAGTTTTGTATAAGGTTACACTATTCAATGTCAAGAATAGGAGCAGTCAACCTCCAGGAGAATTTAATTTTGATAAAATTGTACGCAAATTAAACATCCCAAGTAGCAAGAAAATGTACAAACAATATTGTAAAATAAATTGAATCAATATTTACCCAATATTAAAAACTATTGATTTAATATTGAAATAACATTTTACAAATATCGATTTGAAACAAAAGACATTTATCGGTAAATATTTGAGTCAATATTGAAATATATTGAAACAACCGCAAAATAAATATTGTTTAAATATTGTTTCTTTAAGTATTTAGCATGGTTTCTATATTGTTTCAATATTTCTGCCTAAACATAAAAACACAAAATAATAAAGATTTAGTATGAAAATCATTATTATCAGTTAAGTAAAGTGATTAAATAGGTCATAAAAACAAAATTTGTAAAAAAACTAGGACAACATTTTTTGCCCCAGATGGGTCTCGAACCCATGACCTTTGAAATACGAGCCCGATGCCTTACCTCTGAGCTATCTGTGATTGTTGATATTATGAGTTTTCAAGTGTTATAAGAGCAGCCGACGGTTGCAATGGTCACAACACTTGAAATATTTTTGATACTACAGTATAATATGATTCTGTTAATCAGTTTAGGCATCAAGTAGTTAAATTGTTTTTCTCTTAGTTGGAGAGGATACTTGTATTTGAATATACATTATTTAATTACCATTAGATTAGTACCTAATGTTATTATAATTGATTGTTATATGATTAATTAATCTTTTCCCTTAATTGATTAATCTTAAACTATTAAACATGTGCTCATATAAGTTAAAGAATATCAATTTAAAAAAAAAATATTATAATGAATTATATTTTAAGCAGGTGTTTCACCACTGTATCTAGTACCACAACTATCACAACATCATCTCTGACAACATTTATTATAGATCCAATTTTCTCTAAAATCGTCTTATATTCTGCTGTCATAGCATTTATGTTCTTATAAATAAATCAATTTGTTAAAATGCATTTTAGAATGTTTTATACTTAAATCCAACAAAGGCCCAACGATTCTTTCATTTGTAGGGCCAACAAATACAAGTTTCCGTTGGGCCAACGTTGGCAAGGAGTTAAAATTTCCTCCAACCATTTCCCAACCGTGCCGACCATTTCCCTAAGTTTGGCCAACAATGTGTGCTACTTGGGTCTGCATTTAAGTACATACCCCTAGAGGAACCGTTTTGCTTATTTTAACCCAATAAACCATTATGAAGTTTAGTGACGGACTTTACAGACCAGACACCGACACCCTGTATTGTAATAATTGACAGTGGCATATGACAATTTCTACAATAATGATAGCTGATAAAAAATCTCCTAAAGTGCACAGTAAAATGTTATAATAGTAGGGTTGTTTATGCCGATGGTGCAAAATTGGTTTGTTAACTACTAACATGATATTGTGTTGCCGATGTTTATTGAATATTTCACCAATATTTAAACTAAGTTGATAACAACATTTTTCTATAGATATTGTTCAATATTGGAAAGGAATTAAAACAATATTGTTTGAATATTACCTTAACAATATTGTTTTACAATATTGAACAATATTATGAACATATTTAAACAATATTGTTTTAATATTGAATTATAATATTTATCACCAATATTGTGCAATATTGGCAAAATATCAAAACAATATTGTTTTAATATTGAAGAAATCAATATTGTTGTAAATATTGGACAATATTGTTTCAATATAATGAAAATATTTTTTTGCTACTAGGGATTATACAAATTCCATTTCTTGGCTTCTACTATCCTTCAATTTGTACTACTAAAACATGATTTTTACAGGTGGAGTACTGAGTTACTTTAAATCCCTACTTGGGAGCCGAGAAATGCGGATTTTGATCCTCGGGCTGGATGGAGCCGGAAAAACCACCATTCTATATAGACTACAGGTTGGAGAAGTAGTGACAACAATTCCAACTATTGGTTTTAATGTGGAACAAGTAACTTACAAAAACTTAAAATTTCAAGTTTGGGATCTTGGAGGCCAGACAAGCATCAGGTAAGCATTTTTTGTTAAAAAACCTCACATAAAAGTCTGCTCTGAGTCAATACTATTATTGTAAGGTAGGCCTCTACAGAATAGACTAGAAATTATTAACCATTTTGCCACCATGGTCTGATATGGTTTGATGTATCAGACGCTAGATGTGAACTTATTTACTGGCCAGCAGAACGTCCACATTTTACAAATAACTTATCAGACTATTTGTCATGGATAGTAAGTTACTTACTGCATCACAGAGAAGTAAGGTAAGGAAAAACGCTAAAATGGGACAACTGTGCGCTCTGGTATATTGTGCTGGAAAAATATTGTGACGAGCAAGGAAGAGTCAAATCAGCGAGCACTGTGCAAAAAGTTCCATCACACAGGATACAGTGTCTTCCTCTGCCGTAGTACATTAGGTCAAGGGGGCTTGTGTTGGACTTAAGCACTAGTAGATACCACTTGTACCTCAGAGGGTGTCTACTGTTCCTTACTTCTCTACATACTACAGTACTATGTAGAAACACATGTTGCCTCACCCCGAGTTATGTGTTATGTAGGTCTTTGAAAAAAGTTAAATCATGTTGTAAACCTTGAGAGCGTTTTTAAGTTATCAGTAGTGTGTTTAAAAAATTATTCAATGTGTTTTACGGGTGTTTTTGTTTTTGAATATGAGTAAATGTCTTCCATATGGCCTAGGCTAAATCACCAGTCAGTGAAAATACAATTTATGATGGTTTGGCAGATTATAATGATGTCAAGGATGATGAGTTGAGCAACGGTTTTATTAATGAAATTGAATTGTCATCCCCAGACCCTCCTTAATCTTCTGACGAAAATAAATTGAATTATTTTTGTCCTCCTTATTTATTTGGAGACGATAGGGCTGTGTGTGTAGCCCTGTAAGCATTGCTGAAGCAGCTAAGAAAAGAAGTCCAGGACAATCTGCATTTCATGTCAAAAAGCGACGCATCCTGCTTGTTTTGGACATCACTGATGTTAAAAATATCTTTTCAAGTAGGCTATATACATAATGTGTAATAGGCTATAGGCTATGTAATTTTACCCCATGTGGTGTTATGATATTATTATATTTATATTTTGTTTTATAATGTAAATAATGTAAACTAGGTAGCGTTCGCAGAGGCATCCACAAAATTGAGCGGAGTCATCAAGGGTTCATATTATATTGTTTTTGTCATACTGCAGTAAAAACATTCGTTTTTAATGCAAGTGTTGCGGGTGTAAAGTAGCATTTTTACTCTTTAGGGAGTAATCGTTTTTAGCCTCTGTCGAGTAAAAATCAGCTGTTGTCAACTCAGTTGTAAATTTTGATTGTAAGCGATTGCATGAATCGAAAATATGTATAGATTCGTGCTTCGTGATCAATTATTATTATCAATTATCAATCGTTTTAACCTACAGTCTACAGTCTCTTCCCGTAACACTTTAGCATTACTGATACATTAATCCATTCCCACACTCAACACTGCTCACATTTACTACTTCCTTCACCACCCCCTACGTCGTGGACCTGTTTCCCTCTCTTCCCATAGCATTTTAGGATTGCAGATACATTAATGTAATTGCCAAAGACAGTTCCCACTTTCTGCACTGTTAGCCTTACTACTTCCTCCACCATTTCCTACGTCATAGACCTGTTTCCTTCCCTTCTCATAGCATTTAAGTATTACAGATACATTTATCTAACTGCCCAAACGGTTTCCCCACTCTGCACTGCCATCCTTTACTACTTCCTTCACCACTTCCTACGTCGTGGGGCCTGTTTCCTTTCTCTCTCAAAGCATTTTAGGATTGAATATACATTAATCTCACTGCCACAGACGGTTCTCACACTATGCTCATACTTTACTACTTCCTAAGCCACTTCCTACGTCGTGGACCTGTATTCATAACTTTCCATAACAATTTAGTATTTTAGATACGTTAATCTAATTGCCACAAACATTTCCCACATTCCGCACTGCTAGCATTTAATACTTTCACCATTTCCTATGTCATGGGTATGCTTCCATCCCTTCTAATAGCATTTCAGCATTGCAGATACATTAATCTAAATGCTACAAACGGTTTCCAGTTCCCATACTCCACACTGCTCACCTTACTACTTCCCTCACCTCTTCCTACGTCGCGGACCTGTTTCCCTCTCTTCCCATAGCATTTTAAGATTGTAGATACCTTAATCTAATCATCATGAACAGTTCCCACACTCCGGACTGCTCGCATTTCCTACTTCCTTCACCACTTCCTACGTCTCGGACCTGTTTCCCTCCCTTCCCTTGGCATTATTGGATTGCAAATACCTTAATCTATTGGTCATAAACAGATCCCACATTCCGAACAACTCGCCTTTACTGCTTCCTTCACCACTTCCTACGCCATGGGCCTGTTTACCTCCCTTTCCATAGCATTTTAGTTTTGCAGAAACCTTAATCTAATCGTCAAAAACATGCAGTCTACACTCCGGACTGGTTGCCTTGACTATTTCCTTCACCACTTCCTACGTCGCGGACCTGTTTTCCTCCCTTCCAAAGCATATTAGGATTGCAGATACCTTAATCTAATCGTCATAAACAGTTTCCACAGACCAGACTGCTTGCCTGCACTACTTTCATCACCACTTCCTACGTCATGGACCTGTTTCCTCCCTTCCCATAGCACCATAGGATTGCAAATACCTTAATCTAATGGTCATAAACATATCCCACATCCCGAACAGCTCACCTTTACTACTTCCTTCACCACTTCCTACGTCGCGGACCTGTTTCCTTTCCTTCCAATAGCATTTTAGGATTGCAGATACCTTAATCTAATCGCCATACACAGTTTCCACACTCCGAACAGCTCGCCTTGACTACCTCCACCACTTCCTACGTCACAGACCTGTTTCTCTCCCTCCCCTTAGTATTATTGGATTGCAAATACCTTAATCTATTGGTCATAAACAGATCCCGCACTCCGAACAACTCGCATTTACTACTTCCTTCACCACTTCCTACGTCACGGACCTGTTTCCCTCCCTTCCCTTAGCATTATTGGATTGCAAATACCTAAATCTATTGGTCATAAACAGATCTCACACTCCAAACAACTCGCCTTTACTACTTTCTTCACCACTTCCTAGCATTTTAGGATTGCAGATACCTTAATCTAATCGTCATAATAAGTTCCCACACTCCGGACTGCTCGCCTTTAGCCAACTCCTTCACCACTTCCTACCTTACGGAACTGTTTCCCTCCCTTTCCATAGCATTTTTGGATTGCAGATACCTTAATCTAATCGTCATAATCAGTTTCCACACTCCGGACAGCTCACCTTGACTACTTCCTTCACCACTTCCTACGTCGCGACCTGTTTTTCTCCCTTCCCATAGCATTTTATGATTGCAGATACCTTAATCTAATGGTCATAAACAGATCCCACATCCCGAACAGCTCGCCTTCACTACTTTCTTCACCACTTCCTACGTCGCGGACCTGTTTTTCTCCCTTCCCATGGCATTTTTTAGGATTGCAGATACCTTAATCTAATGGTCATAAACAGATCCCACACCCCGAACAGCTCGCCTTCACTACTTCCTTCACCACTTCCTACGTCGCGGACCTTTTTCCTTCCCTTCCAATAGCATTTTGGGATTGCAGATACCTTAATCTAATCGTCATAAACAGTTTCCACACTCCAGACTGCTCACCTTTACTACTTCCTTCACCTCTTCCTACGACACGGACCTCAAGCTAGTGTCGTCATTTGATTATATTTATGATCCATACCGTTTCTGTTCTAATATCTGTGGAATAATGCTATCCGCTCTTTTTTTATCTACTGCATTCAAAAGTGAACAGCTGATCATATGTCTTTGTTTTTGTTTATGTGTCAAATACTGCTTCCATAAGGATTACATTGAAACTTTGAGACCCAGTGGGGCGGATTCCTGAGAGACTTTTTTAACGCCATATAGATGTTGGCATTCACCGATATGGTCTTTATCACTATGCAAAATTTGAAAACGATTGATTCAGCCGTCTAGGAGGAGTTTGCGTATTACGAAATGCACAAGAGTCGACGTATAAGAGCTTCGCTCAATTAACATAGTTAGGCCTATGCGAAAGCCAATAATTAGGCGTAACAGATGTGATTTTTATAAGAGTATGTTTTAAACTTGCAATTGCAAGTGTTCTCCTAAAAAAAAATTCAAAGTCGTTTTCAAAAAAAGAACCACTGAGCAATAATTTGTTATGGTAACTTTCGAGTTTTGCCTGTTTGCTAACAAATAAATAATATGTCCAACACTTACCTGTAAGAAATAATTTTTTCTAAAATATAGTTGCTGAGAAAAGTAAGTTAGCCTTTTGATGGCTCGAAACCGGGCCCAGTTGTTCCTGATCACGTGGCTTTAAATAAATTATCCTGACTGATGAACCAGCTGATCTTAGCCGGTAACAAAGCTACACAGATCATCTCACACTATTCTACTATCACCCTTCACTCATATCATTAAAAACGAAAGAACAGAGAGCTAAGAGAAATCTTATAAACACCTGTATAAAAGGGTACTTTTCAAAAGTAAAAGGTTTTGATGGGCAGGCTGTGCGTGGTAGAAAGAAGATGCATACACTTTTAAAAGTATATTTTAAAAAGTACCACAAGGTAGACGACCACTTGAAAGAACGCAAATGAAAGACATCTCCAGACTGAGATCAACATTAAGAGAGGGAGTGGGCAAAAGAGAATGGGAAGCCAAAGTCCTCTTAATGTTTCAGTGGCCACGGATATAAGATACGGTAAATGATTGTATGCAATGAAAGGTTATGTAGCTACTGTGCTCAAAACTGTGTGTGAATCGGCCACCTATCTTACTTCAAGGCTTTTCAAATCAACACAGTTTCTGTTTTATTGTAAAACTAGCAGAGTACCCGTCCTTCGTACGGGGTTGGAATATAAGTATAAAATTCTTATTGCAATTATACTCAAGCTTTGCCCCGTTTAACTTCTTAATTTTCAAGATGATCTCGTTTGCATGGCTCAATCACGTCCTGGTTGAAGTTCGTTCGCTACGCTCACTCACCTTTAGGTTGGAGCTCGTTCGCTGCGCTCACTTTCCTTCAGGTTAGCTCGTTCGCTACGCTCACTTGCCTTCAGGTTAGCTCGTTCGCTACGCTCACTCGCCTCCAGGTTGAAGTTCGCTCGCTACGCTCACTCACCTTTTGGTTGCAAATTAGCTGTTGTCATAAATGTAAAAGAAATAATAGTGCTAGTGCTGCACCCTGTTGGTAATCCTTGTAACTTTAATGCTATTGAACATCACAGAACAGAACCAACTTGTTTAATTGAAACAGCTGTTAAGATTCAATAATTTCATTTCTCATAAGGTTAACATGGGAAACTCCAGAGCCACTGGTGCGGAGCCCGAAAGGATTTTTGGGATAAAAATATGCCTATATGTTAATCGGGAATGTGAGCTATCATCATGCCGAATTTCAGCCCGATCCGACCAGTATTTTTCGCGTTTACTTTTCCCATACATACAGCAACCACCTCTTTTTTATAATAGTAAGATAGATTATCAGATTTAAAATGCATATTGTATAGCCCTATAATCGGATGAAAAAAATAGGCGGTCACGTACAATTTGTTTACAAGATGATTTTCGCCATTAAAACAGCCAGAATTTTTCTTAATTCATGTAAGCTAGCTCACTAGCTGTTCTGAATTATTTTTAGTTTTAATTGAATACTCGATTCCCTTACTTAGGACAGGCCAACACCTCCTTTGGGTTAAAATATGCACCTAGGTGCATCCCCATCTCAAATAATAAATAATTGAATATTGATAATTGACTTGTGAATTTAATTTTTATGTTTCTTTTACTATTGATTGCAATATCCTACATGTTTTTTATAAGTCTAGAAATAAAATCAAATTTATTTAAAAAAATTGTTTATTATTTTGAAGAAAAATGCATTTAACTAGTCAAACAAACAAAAATTATTGTGCCAAAAGAAACGATAGATAGAGCATGCTATACAAACATTGCTCTTGAGAAAAAAATGGCCTCGGTGCTTTTCACTTGCAACATGAAACCAATTAAAAAAATTGTGGCGGGGAAAGGGTTAAACCTCGGGTCAGTTTTATTTGGTTCGGACATTGTATCGGAATGGCCAACCTGGCCAAATCATAAACTTTAAAAAAATAAAGCTGTACTAAACAATAAGGGAAATTTTAATGAGCAATAAAATGAGTTTGTATTTTACAGGTTAGGCATTTTGATAGTATTAAGTCTCAACCATCTTTACTTTACTAACCTCCTGTAGGTAACTAGATTTGCACAAATTGTGTATGGTTTTCAAATTCATCCATTAGTTTTTATACTTAGCCTTCTCCAGATTGTTTTGACTCTTTAGTTAACCAGTGTAAACATCTGGTCCCAAGTTGACCAAATGTGTCTTTTGAATGGAATGTTTAAGCAAAAGCATATTTTTTACTTAAGATTTTTAAACACTACTGAAACCATAGTACACAGAACTTCTTGAAATGCCAAAGATGTGCATGGAAGAAAGGTTTAAAATGCATTTTAGTTAGTACTCTGATCCAAGCCCATTTACAATTTTTGTCAAAAATTGACTATTACCTCGGATTAAGTTTAATAAATGTAAATTATTTTTCAGGCCGTACTGGAGGTGTTACTACTCAAACACAGATGCAATCATATATGTTGTAGACTCCGCAGACAAGGATCGGATAGGAATATCTAAGGATGAACTGCTTTATATGTTGAGGGTAGGCTGAGTACTACTTTTTTAAAGATATATGTTACGTTGAATATTAAAGGGCCAAACCAATTGTCAAAAACCACCTTCAGCGAAACAGTGGCTTGCCAGAATAAAAGTAGGTTTCAGCCCCATCATTATTTTTCTCAGTTTGGGTTCTTGTTTTATTTAACAATGCTGAGAAAGTAGTGACTAGGCCTACTTGTCGGAGAGAGATTATGTAATATTTTTTTTATATGTCACATGCATTAATCATTTAGGTCTCCAGACACAAATTTAATTGGCCATCATGAGTTAGTCACATGGCATTAACTTATATTTATAACAATTTTAGCATAATTGGCAACTGAATACTTTAGCTGAAACCTTTGAACTATCTACTAGATATACCCAGTACTTGGGGTTATCAGTATTTTAATTGCAGAAGAGTGTAAGGGATGAGCAGTCCAAGGTGTTGTCTCCTTACTCCTCAGCCAGAGACAGCTCTGTTGCGGCGCGTATTGGTAGCCAATGTTATGGAATAATAAAAACAACACTTTGTGTATTTTAAATTAGAACTGTTTATTAACACGTTAAATGAATTTGATATGAGTGGACTGTATAATGATGAAATAAACCAAATGCAATTACTAATTCGAACTTTAAAATATGATGAAATACGTGGAGGAGTCTGCTACACACGTCCTGAATGTTATACAAAAACTATAACTATAATGCGATATGTGTAGGGGTCTGCCTCACTCATCCGATAAAGTGAATGCCATGCAAAAGACTGTTGTTACTCGACCGACACGACAATGAGTTCTGATCGATCCCACAGACCACCCTTACCCACGGTCCTAGATAACAATTCTAAAGACAGATAGAAAAGCTTAGCTTATGTGACCTTATTAGTTCCTCACGGTATGTCCAGAGTGCACGCCAATTCAGATTCAGATTTTCGGCGTCAGGAATGGATCATGCATTTAAATAGAAGTGTCCATAGTGGCCACCGGTTTCCGAGCCGGCGCGCAGGCACCTGCTTACCGGAATGAATTCTTCATTCTGGTTTCGGATTCCGATTCAGATTTTGCTTGTACGCATACTATTTAGTTAAATAAATTACGTTTTTTATAGTAAAATATTTTTTTTCATTCTTACTTTTAGGGTTACCACTAAACGGTCCTCAGGATTTATTGTTTATGTTGGTTACACCAGTTTCTTACAATACGATGTCCTATTTTAATAATAAGTTTGTTGTTTTCAAGCTCCATTCATTGCAATATAGAAAGAAGCTCTATCATTTCTAGCTATAGTAAAAGAATTATATAATATCATGAACACCTTTTTTCACTTGCTGTAACTTCACAACATTTTTAGATGCTATACACGATAATTCTCTGACAATTCCATAACAACGAATGACTTGCTTCTTTGCTAACCGAGCGTACCGGCGGCATATTTCCTGCTTCCACTGTGGCCACCAACAAAATATCTGACTCAGATTAACCAAGCGCCGAAAATCTGAATCTGAATCTGAATCATCAAGCACTCTGTACGTACCGTTATGCAGGAGGACTGTCTCAACTGCTGGCTTTGTTAAGAAGGAATGGGTGGTTGATGCGATCGTAAACAACTCTAAATGTTTGACAATATTTGAAAATTGGATAACATAACTATCTTCTAAACATCATAAATTTAAAGATACACAATAGATTAAATAAATACAATATCTCTCTCAAACAAGCTCTATAGAAATAATCTCGTCTAGGTAACGACTGAAATGTATTAATGATGAGTTAACCTCTCCATCGGCTATGGCAGTTGGTGTGAGAGACCCACCTTTAATGGTGGACAGCTCTAATGAGAGGTGATGTGACGTGTGGATTCTTTGTGGTTTGCGTATATGATCAGACTTTGTTACTTTTACCAGATTTTGATTTTATATTGTCTGCCAACTAGACATTTGTTTTAAATTACGTTGAGTTTTTGAACCATAAGGGTGTTAACGATCAATAGACACTCTAGGTTTAATAGGGTTAAACCAAACCACATGTCTAAGAGCCTTATACAGAGCACCCATCTACTTGCTGGAGGATGCTGGAGTTTCTAGAGAGATAACCACTATCTCTGACACTGATATTTGTGCACCAAGTGTGCGTAAACACGTGTTATCAAGAGAGAGACAATTAATTAATTGAAATGCATTGTTATCTAACAAGACAGTTGGTTTGGGTTTCCATAAGTAGGCATACTACAGTATCAGTTAGTAACAAGAAACATCAGGAGTTTATACAGGAAATAATGGTTACAAAATGTGTTTAATATTATAACATTACTATTGAATAAGTGTTCATCATCTATTAAACGAATACTCATTTAACTAAAGTGATCTATTAAACATTCTAATTTTCTTTGGTGGTTTAAATAATAATTAGGTAGAATATTTAAAGGGCTATTTGAACACATATAGAATGTTAGCTTTGTCTATAATAAACTCTCCCCAGTCACTGAATTAAATTATTTATCTACTTTAGTTTACAGTACCTAACTTATAAATATATAATTAATTTATAATAAACTCAGTAATAGCATTGACAGTTGGAGTAGTGAATAGTGCGTTTTGATTGTTAGTCCTTTAGTTGGTGGTAATATACAAGGATTTGTACGGATTTTTTATTGTTAAGTTAGCTTATGGCGTAAAATATCGTATGTCACTCGTCCAAAATGTGTTTACCGGACCTTATAGTAATCCCATATTGGTTTACCTGCTATAATGTAAGTTTTGAGTTAATAAGTTAAATAAATAAAAGCTTAAGTTTGTATCAACTTGCTTTCTCTCATAAGTTTACAATCAAAATTATTTCTTTAGTAACGAAAACTAAACAAAACAAAATGCAAACCACAGCTGTCTACAGACATTGCTGTAGCATCACCCCCTTTACATTAGTGGTGCTGGGCCCTTTTTTCTTTACTGGGTGATGAGGTATGTAGCGAACAGCGTCGTTTGTTTCTAAGCTGCCCTTTCCAAAGCCTTGTGATGGATTCACCAAGTTTCATGATCCACAGGTTGATCTTATCTCTTCTCCAGGGCTCTATCTCGATGTGAGTTGCTCTTTGTCTGTTGTTACTAGTCCGACACTGAGGAAAAGAGGAAGTATTCTCGACAGATCCAACTTGGGTGTTCATATTTTGGTGAGATCGAAGTACAGTGTTGCGTTAGTTCTGTGGTGAGCCTATCACAAGCGGCTGATCATTGACAGTGTTGACTGGGGCCATGGCTTGTTCATTCTGAGAGCTATTGTACCTGGAACTGTTTGCGGTGATGATTTCTTGTATTACATCATCTACTTCCGCTCCCCGTCTGAGATCACATTAAAAATTGCAGCATTTACAGAACGTATCCGTGTTGAGATCTCTTCCTCGCTGTTAGCTACCAGTGTTAAGGTGTTGAGTCGGGATTGACATGGATCTTCTTCGACAGTCGTATGCGTCTGGGATGCAACTAGGTCCTTACTAAGCATTTCAGATTGTACCTCCTTGTCAATGTTGGAGATTGCAAAAGAAATTGTGGTGGGGCTGAAACCTAATTTTATCCTGGCAAGCCAATGTTTCGGTGATGGTGATTTTTGACAATTGGTTTGACCATTTAATATTTTAAATTGTAGGCATGACCTAAAAATTGCTATGATTTTTTGATGTTCCTAACTGTAATGAATAAATATCCAATTTCATAACAAGAATAGAAAGTGAGTTATTTCATATTTGAGACCATGTTTGAAGTGCAGGATTAATAGAGCACTTTAAATGGTGCAGAATATGTATGGACCCACTTTCACTCGTGTTTTGAACGTTACTTTTTGCTACACTACAAAGACTAATTATTTTAATTATTATTTAAAATAATTAGTCTTTGTAGTGTAGCGAAAAGTAACGTTCAAAACACGAGTGAAAGTGGGTCCATACATATTCTGCACCATTTAAAGTGCTCTATTAATCCTGCACTTCAAACATGGTCTCAAATATTAAATGACTCACTTTCTACTCTTGTTATGAAACATACTATTACAATACAGTTGTATGTCTATACAGTTATGAGGGGAAGCAAGCTGGTCTAGTGTTTAGAGCGTGGGACTCCGGTTCCTGGGGTCCCGGGTTCAAACCCCGCCAAATCACCAATGGATTTTATCTAAGTGATATTGCCGTAACCCCTAGGTCTAGCCTGAAGTAATAAGAAAAACAATTCCAGGCTCGTGCCTAGCGTCCTAAGGAAAAAAAAATAATACAGTTGTATGTAAAGAAATCCCATTTCATTAAGCAGGCGACAAAACGGCTGTTAACCACAATAAATCCTTGTATGGAAAGTCCATTAAAACAGTGTAGTGTGGCAAAAAAGTATTTAATTAACATGATCACTTCAAGAAAAAAATAATTGAAAAATTCAATGCATATTTATATCTACACGTATTAAACTACACTGTCATAAATCAAATCAAATCAATTTATTGTTGTAGACATTTCACAATGCATTAACAATTGTCACAAAATGCATAATGCTGTTATTAATACAGCAAATGAATACTTACATTTAATCAATCAATATAATAAGATCTAGTATAAAAAAAAATATATAACTTACAGCCACAATTAAATAGAAATATTTTGACATGTAAAAAAATCCTCCACTGTATATGGGCATTTTTGTACTAAATATGTTTTCATTTTTGATTTAAAAGTGTTAGAGGACAACTCCTGAGACTCCACTGATAAATTATTAAACAATTTAGCTGCCATGTATTGAATGTTTGACTCTTCCAGTATTTACAAAGCACTGTTTGTAAGTTGTTTTTAAATCTGGTTTCATAATTATGTTCATTTGAATTTTCTGAACAAATTTCTAAATGATTTTTTACATACAACAGAACTTGAAGAATATAATGCAGGTAAAGTTAAAATTTGAAATGTTTAAATATAGGTTTACAGTGAGTTCTAGAGCGTACACCACTTACAAGCCTTATTGCCCTTTTTTGCAATTTAAATAACTTTTTGGTATATGATTGGAAACCCCACACCAATATTCCATTACTCAATAAACTATGTATCTGTGCATAATACACTGTTATCATAACATCTTTTGTTACACAACCTTTTAATCTTCTTAAGCAGTATACACCTTTCGACAGCTTGGTTGTACAGCTTTGTAATACACAATGTTATAGGATTTATATCCAATGTTATAGGAAGAAGAGCTTCAGGGAGCAATCCTCGTAGTACTTGCCAACAAACAAGACATGGAAGGCTGCATGAGCGTAGCCGAGGTTCATCAGGCCCTAGGTCTCGACGCACTCAAGAATCGAACATTCCAGATCTTCAAGACCTCTGCAACCAAAGGCGAGGGACTTGACTCTGCAATGGACTGGTTATCAAACGCTTTACAAAACAAAAAGTGAAAGAAAAACTAATGTGTGCACCAAAAACTTTGAGGTGTTGTGATAAGGGCTTGTTCCTTCCTGTGGTCAGTGGCTCGTACAATTTACGGACTATTAATAAATATGTAATATATTTCATTTAACATTATTATATTGTTCATAACAATAAAAATGTATTCACAAGTGTTACCTTCAATTCAACCTGATAAAAAAATACAGTTTAGAATGGTTAAAAAGTTATTATCACGAGATAGAACTATCCTTTTTAAGAAAAGAATCTATGTATCCTAGATAGATTGTTTTCCACCTAAATTTTCCCCTCCACACAGGCTTTGAGCCTGTGCATCGAATGTACCTATCAATTTTTAAACAAAAGAAATACTTTACAATAGTTTCCTAACCAGCCCAATATATTCTGTTTTGGTTTACTGAAATTACCTCTGATTATGTGATGATAATTTTGTTTTTCTTTAGAGAAAATACTTTGACATTTACCAGTGCCATTAATTGTGTTTATTTCTTTCTGAATATGCTCCAGAAGAATTTTTAACTGGACGCTTTTATTCCTCGTAGATTGGTAATTTTTACAGTATTCATACTAGCACATCTGTGTGTACTCTATTAACGAATGGACTCTATTAAAACAAGACCGTGAAGTTAGCGTACCCATATTAGCATTTCCACTTTTGTTCATATCAATCATTAGTTCTTGACAGTACTCCAATATTGTTAGTTCCCAAAAAATAAAAAAGTTATAGCCAATAAATGGGTACGCTAACTTCACAATTAAGGCATTTCCATCAGAACAGTTTTCCGATGAAAAATGTTTACATCTATATATCAATCGTTAGTTCTTCGTTTGTTCTCCAGAAAAAAAGAAAAAGTTATTAGGCATTAAAGGTGGTTACGCCAACTAGCAACTTCACACCTAAAGCATTTCCAGCGAGCACAGTTTTCTGATAAAAATGCTGATATCTATAAATCATTCGTTCTTTATTAGTTCTCGATAGTTCATCAATATCAATGATAGTTCTTCAAAAATAAAAAGTTATAAGACATTAAACGAGGTTACACTAACTTCACACATAGTCTTTCTAGCGTGCACCGTTTTCTGGTGAAAATGTTGATACTGTATACCAATCATTAATTCTTTGTTAGTTTTTGATAGTTATCTAATACTAGCTGTTACCCACAGGCTTCACCCCGTTTGACTTCATAAGTATTAATAAAACTATTGATTGGGTAAAGTTCATGGTGGAAGGAAAAGACATAGGTGTGCTACCCGGTCATATTCTGACGTCACTCGGATTGCAAACAAAAGGTCACCTGATTGTAACTGTCAAATTAGTATGTATTTGTTTTGATTTGATTGTTATTGTTTTTTTATAAAAACACACATTACAAAAACAATAACAACCAAATCAAAACAAATACATATAATAGTTTGACAGTTACAATCAGGTGATCTTCTGTTTGCAATCCGAGTGACGTCAGAATATGTGGGAATAGCACACCTATGTTTTTCCCTTCCACCATGGGTCAAGTTAAGCTGAAATAAACAAAACAGAATACAGGAATACAATGACACCTGATTTTAATAAGGTAATAAATTGGGAGAATAACAAAAAAATAAGTACAGCTGAAATATTTTTAACATTTGGTATATGGAAAGTTCCCTTTAGAAAGGAATTACAACCTTAAAAGGGCCTAAAAGATAAATAATAAGTAATAAATTTATGAAATAATGGATAGTTTTGCGCATGGTTTCTCGTCATGACGAACATTTGAAGTTATGGTTTATGGGTGTGAGACCTATAGATTTCTCAAAAGTTCATGGGTTGGGTACTTTGGGATTTATATATGGACTATCCGTTATCAGGCGCGCTTGCTGCGCTAACAACTATAATTTTAAATGGTAATTTGTTCTTTACGATAAATATTAAAAATGTATCTATAAGTATAAAAGAGGATGTTTGTATATATATTTGTTTGTTTGGCAGTGATAAACTCAGACACCGCTGAACCGATTGCCACGAAACTTGGTACATACGTGTAGAATGTCATGGAATAGGTTTATACACCATCAATTTCGTGATCCGTCCAATCGGCTCCGCCCCAGTGGCTCTGGAGTTTCCCATGTTAACCTTATGAGAAATGGAATTAATGAATCTTAACAGCTGTTTCAATTATACAAGTTGGTTCTGTTCTATGATGTGCAATAGCATTAAAGTTACAAGGATTACCAACAGGGTGCAGCACTATTATTTCTTTTAAATTTATGACAACAGCTAATTTGCAACCATAAGGTGAGTGAGCGTAGCGAACGAACTTCAACCTGGAGGCGAGTTAGCGTAGCGAACGAGCTAACCTGAAAGCAAGTGAGCGTAGCGAACGAGCTAACCTGAAGGCAAGTGAGCGCAGCGAACGAGCTCCAACCTAAAGGTGAGTGAGCATAGTGAACGAGCTCCAACCTAAAGATGAGTGAGCGTAGCGAACGAACTTCAACCAGGACGTGATTGAGCCATGCGAACGAGATCATCTTGAAAATTAAGAAGTTAAACGGGGCAATAAAGCCCGCGGGATTATAAATAGTCAAAGGCAAGACAACGTCTGCCGGGTTCAGCTAGTAGGTACTAAAAATAAAAGATTATTTATTTTACTTAATTGCAAGTGGATAAACAATGATTATGTTTTTTTATTAGATGTCGTATATAAGTATTTAGGCGCACCTACCATCTTGTGAGCACGCAACATACAGTTACTCGTGTGAAAAGTATGCATGTTCTAAATTCAAGCTGGCGATAGTCGAGGATTGCCCTTGTGCCTTATAATGGTGATTGTGAAAGCAAGACGCAAAGGAATTTGTAGTCGCTTGAATTCAAAGAGTAATTCAGATGAAATCATCGGTATTCTCCGGATTAAGACTATTTCTCCTTTAAACTTACCACTGATGGATGATTGTTGCTTCAATCAAGTTGGGTGTCATTTTTAAGTCAGTCTGGTTCCGTTACACAGCTTGGGTGGATTTAAGTTTTGCATTTAGTATTATTGGAGTTCCTTCTTTCAATGACAGTAATGTGGTGAGTTAATGACAAATTGGGAGGCATGTGAATACCTGAGATAGCACGCACGATAATATTTACTTAATAATTTATTTTAATTTGTGTTGGTATAGAACAAATAAAGATGAAAAATATTACGGCATTGCCATACCTTTTGTTGTTTATAATACTTTGATAAATGTTTTTACTTTTTATGTTTACATATTTAATAGTGGAGAATTTAAACGTTGTTGAGTGCACAGGTGTGCTGCGATTGGGATTAAATATATTTGTACTTAATATAATACATGGGGACCGAGCTTTGCTGGGGCAAAACCATTAGTTTTACTCCGAAAGCAGTGTTAGTATTGCAGATACATTAATCAATTCCCACACTCCACACTGCTCGCCTTGACTACTTCCTTCACCTTCACCACTCGCTGTTTCACCTTCACTTCATGGACCTGTTTCCCTCCTTTCCCATAGCATTTTAGGATTCCAGATACATTAATCTAATCGTCACAAACAGTTCCCACACTCCGGACAGCTCACCTTTACTACTTCCTTCACCACTTCCTACGTCGCGGACCTGTTTCCCTCCCTTCCCATAGCATTTTAGGATTGCAAATACCTTAATCTATTCGTAATAAATAGATCCCCCATTCCGGACAGCTCGCCTTTACTACTTCCTTTACCACTTCATACTCGGGGACCGCGTCTCGTTGTCCCTCCGTCTCGTTGTCCCTCCGTCTACTTGTACCTCGAGGCCTAGGGACAACTAGTCGTAGGTACAACTAGACGTAGGTACAAGTAGACGGTGGCACACCCGACTAGTTGTACCTGCAGATTTTTAGGAGGTACAACTAGACGTAGGTACAAGTAGACGTAGGTACTACTAGACGTGTATCCCACCGACAAGTAGTACCACCTAGCTTGTACGGATGCGACCAGTTGTCCCTACGACTAGTAGTCCCTACGACTAGTAGTCCCTACGACTTGTAGTCTCTACGACTAGTGGTCCCTCTGTCTAGTAGTCCCTACGTCTAGTTGTACCTACGCGTATTTTGCGTCCTTATAGTCTAGTTGTATCTATCCTTCAATTCGTTACCCTGTTTAATTGATCACTGCACGAGTACTTTTTAATAATACCCCTAATTAAATCAGGAACTGCAGTGTTCCGAGTCGATTGAGTATGATTGGCAAATATTTTTCACCGCAATACGATGTTTTAGTAGTTCGCATTGCTGTCCAGGGTCGAAATGGCAGCTATAGTTGTGATTAAAATTTTCCAGCCCTAGTACCGAAAATCGCTTATTTAATTAAAACATTTATATATATCATTAAATATACAAGCAGTATATCCCTAATGAATTGCAATAGACCGCTGCCCAGCAATTATGTATTACTATTTTTGCTGATTCCTTTAAATATTTTTTCACATAACCTTAAAGCATCGATCTCTATTATTACTACATAGAGATCGATGCCTTAAAGTATTTGCATTGATTAGTGTGCATATCTTATAGTTTACAATGGAATCCCCGTGATCAATGAACAATGAAGTGTACAATGAAGTTGAGGTCCAGCGGTTGAAAACTCGACAAAAACTATGCAATGTACTACACATACTTCTCCATTTAACATACACTGTAAATAATAAATGTCCGTGATTGGAATATGTTCCATTTGTTTTGATTTTATCCTATACTCTAATACGAGCAATGTTTGCTTGTATGTATGTATGTATGCTTGCTTGCTTGCAAAAAAGATCTTGAATACGGCTCCGACGATTTTCTTCAAATGTTGTAAATAGTTTATTTCTGGCCTAAAAACGAGTTTACTGCAGTTAGAACTGCCAACAAAAATCTAATTACGTAGAAAAATGAAACTGAAAATCACATTTTTTTAACATTAGTCTTATGGGTTGCTAGGTAACCATGTTGGCTGAATTAAATAACAAAGAAAAAGTAAACAAAAGACTTGAAGTTGTGGCATGTGTTCGTAATAAGCCAACTACCCACAGTATACTAGCAAATTATAAATACAGTACAAAAGGAAAATAATCCCTTGTTAATATTTAGCAAAGATTATACTGAAGATTACTCGATATTATTGTAGTCAAGGGTAGCAGTGCGAAGTCTG